AGCGGTTCCAGTGGCGCACCACGGTCAGTTACTACATGTGCTGGTACACGATGCTCGGCGTGCCGGAATTGAGTATCTTCGGAGAGTCGTGCGACAACTACGCCAACTGTCAGATCGAGTCGTCCGGGACCGGGAACGGGGATCCAAGAGCCGACGACACGGTACCCTATGCTTGCGCCCTTTATAGTTTCTGTCCGGATCATTGTTGTCCCATGAAGCATATCCAGGATATGACGGATTGCCATCAGTCGCAGGACAATCCCTGTCATGCTGGGAACCCGCCGGGTGCGTAGAAATCACCTTACATTCCCAGCCGTAAGAGGATTCCCACAATTTTCGATCCGAACGATCCCCTAACATCTAACATCCTGCCAGATATCCCGCTATTTCGCTCGTCGAAGGCACTGTTATCGTGTTTCACGCTTGCTGCCAGATGTTTGTTAATCGACCGTTTCGCTTCAGCTTTCTGCAACAATGACGGGATCTGGGATACAAATTTGTATCTTGCAACGAGTTCAAATTACTTTGAAGCAGTTTTCTTCGTGTTTCTTTCTTTCTTTCTTTCTTTTTCAATTCTTGGCAAGTCTTGAGCTTTGAACATGCTCACTACTCAGGCCTTGAGCGTTTTATGATTTTCAATTTAAATATTTATACGCAATTAAATAATATATTAATTATATATAATTAATCGGTACTTCAGTCGTGTAAGTCAGAACTCGTCGCAGATTATGCGATATATATCATATATACTCTCAAAGAAGTTAATAAATTTCACGTCAATGATAACAATTAAACCAAAGTAACCAGATACCTTACCTTAGCAACTCTCGAAACTTTTAAGATATTCAAAATAACCAATGTCTTCGATACTTTCAACACCTCAAAGGAATCGTCTTCGAAGTCATTCGAATTTTCTCCGATACACACACGGAGTCTGAATGTGTTCTGAACTATCAGAACATCATTGACTTACCAACTCTATTTTTAATAGACCTGGAAGTATCATCGATCCAACTTATTTTTCGATTTCATACACAGAGCATAGGGAATGTTCGTTGAATCGACAAGAGAATCAAGATCTTCTCAGCTTGCTGGCGAATCAGATCAACATCAGCTGCGAGTGTCGCGACCCCGGCTACGAATGGTCCTCCAGGTACGGTCTTTGCGTCGACGTGAACGAGTGCACTCGCGGTACGCATGGTTGCGACGTGGAACAAAGTGAAGTCTGCATGAACCTGGCCGGTGGTTACGAGTGCGTTTGCAAATTTGGCTACGTTTACGACGAAGATCGGGCAGAGTGTATTTTCAGCTCGGATATCGAAGAAATATTGTCGATATGGCAAGAGCATCCGGACGTCGAAGAAACCAAGACCAACGTCATTGAAATGATCGTTAAAACGATCGCGCGAGCGTCTGGCAATCGTCTCGCGATCGATCGCGCGATTCTCCCTATCGTAATCGTTACGAATTTTTGGCTGTTGTAAAAAAACACGATGAACGGGGTTGTTACGAGGAATTATTTTCACGTTTCATATCGTTTTATCGTAATTATTGAATTATTATGTGGCGCGATTTAGTTGATGAAATACGATTTATGCTCGTTTTCTATAATCAACTTTTGTGAATTTAATAATATAGTTCCATGCTCGATGAATTCTCCTGGACAAATTCATTTAGGCGTGATCGGTTTTGTTATACGATTAAAAAGTATTCGCGCACACCCTTATTTTACAATTGAAAAGCGAGTTTTTCTCATTTTCAACTTCAACCTCGAGTTTCTTTGGTCATGTGAAATGATGCAAGTTGTAAGTAATTGAATGTAAAGATACAATGCAAATGAATACTAAGTAATTAAATAACGTAAATGATAAAATAGATGTAAATACTTTTTGTAACCACTATACTTGCTCTGAACTAGTAGTTCTTTAACATCGCTGATATGGATCGAATTATAAATATGTATTATATGATTTTTATATCAGATCTCGATCGATTTACACGCTCATTAATTAGAAGAAAATACTAATTATTATCTCGTAATGCTTTGTCCAAAGTCATTTATCTCTTGTTAATTATTATTATTAGTTTCTCTATTTCAACTTTCAGTTTCAAGTAATACTACATCTTGATATATCTGATAGTAACTCGAAAATACTCGAATAAATATAAGAATATTTTTGTGAATATATTATGCAAAACATTTCTACTAGGATTCACAATAATATTTGCGTAGAAAAATGTATTATACTTTTGGTGCTTATACTGATCTCTCAGCCTGGAAGAAAAAATACAGAGTGACAGTTAACTAGCCACATTTGACGACGACATCAATATTTTCAAATTTATCATTTAATTTGTTTAAATTGCACTTTATTGAAATTCTTTCCTACCTTTCTTCGTCTATAATATATCTAGCTAGCTATATGTCTAAAATAATATATCTAGCTCAATGTATCATTAAACTGATAAATAAACAAATCACATTGATGAAACTTCGAAATGTTTCATATACATATTTACGTGATATATTATATAAAATTTTTATAATATACGCTATGAATAAAATTCTAAAGTCGTAACCGATATATTATATCATATCTGAGTGAATTATATTTTAAGCCACTGACTAATATCGACGCGATCGTTTGGGAAATAATATCCACTAGGATACTGATAGTACGGGATAATGGAGATATTTGTACCCGTAACAATTCAAATTTTAATCTCGTCGCTTGATAGTGCGATTCCATGTGTTTCCTACACTATCTAATTCTACGGGTTGTCTGCCCTACATGGTTGTTTGCCCTGCTCAGGGAAAAAACAACGTTCTCTCGTGGTACGCGATTATATTTAGTATAGTAATCGCGGATGGGAGCGCTAAATGGTAAATTAGAAACCTCTAAAGCATTTTCTATTCTGCAAAGCTCCGCATCGAAACGTTGTTGATACTCGTTCGCGATAAAATTGTAATTACCATAGAACACGAGGTTTAATATCCGCGACTTGCAGAGAAATTTATATATTTGAGTATGTTCAATCCCCGGACAACGAGAATTTTATTCTTGCATGGTCAGATTTGTCTCGTAGTGTATTTCTTTTCCTATGTAAATGTTCATGATGAAGTCTTTCACTGTTGAATTCTAGTTTCTTAAATTATTCTAATGGTAATTGAAGAGAAAAATACATCCAATTATAAAAATCGTTAAAATTCCATATAAACGTTAAAGTAGATTTGCAGTCATTATTATTATTATACAAATACAAATAAATAAATATTATCGTTATATTTTATAATTGTATATTTATTGTCTGTTTCAGCAGCCAAAAGATGAAACCATGCGTAAGTGTAATATTTAAAATGTTTCTGCGTATGTTTAACCCATCAATCTACATATTTTTGCATATAATTTTTAATATAATTTTTAATATATATTATAATTAAATTATTATTATTATATATATAATAATTATAATTATATAAATTATAATTTTTAATATAATTTTTTTATTATATTTTACACTCGAAGATTTTAAACGCTGCAAGAATTTCAAAAAGAGATAACGATATTTGTCACATTTTGCAAGGAAATGTAAATAAATTGGAACGACATCCACTGTACAATTATCCACATGGATAAAGTGTACAAAATATGTTCTTGTTATTACTATATTATAATTATAATGAGAGTAAATATTGTTACCTTGCCAGATCTAGAACAAAGACGCAAACGAACATTTTCTAATTACCACTTTTCTGATACTAAATGTAATTTTAACTAACATGCATGAAATGTATAAAATCTTCGTTATCTCAGGTATTTATTAGCTAATCAATTTCTTTCCCTGCGTAGTTAACTTGACATCGAAATCTCGAAGCAAGGGCAAATTCGAGGAAAAGTGAAATAATGTCGCAGAGACTTAGCAACAGGCTAAAGTTGGAAAGTCGTTGCAGATGGGCGCAACGTCCGCCTGAGCGATAACTGTGAAGCAGTGATAATGGTTCGAAAAAGAGATCTTCCCAACTGCGGCTTTTATATCATCGGTTTTAACCGCTCCGAGTGAACTCTACATCCCTGTAAGGTAGGGAACCTGCGCGCAGCCATGGCGTGTGATAAAGTGATTTAACGTAGCGAGAGAGCACTTTAAGGAATTAGACTGGTGATGCGTAGGCGGGTTTAAAGACGTCGTTACTTTTGTACGACTATTAACCCTTTGAGCGCTTTCGCCGAGACCCGCTTAAAAAGACCCGCGCGTAAACCGTGCTTCCAATGGAAAATCCAGCGAAACCGAGGCGCAATAATCTTCGACAGAGATTGTGTGAAACCACATGCTCGTTCGCGAAACACATCCGCTGTTCATTGTTTTCTCGTTACGCGCTGATTTGACATTTCACGATCGTTTGATTCAGTCAGTCAGGTAGTATTTAAATACTTTGAAAAGTACGTAGTATTTATACTTTAGAAATGAGCGCAGAATAGAATGCTAGAAGGATCGTATAGTGTACATATTTCTAACGTGCAGTTAAGAGCATAAAGTTATTTTTAAGACAGATGTTGCGCAACTAACGTGAATTAAGAATTAACAGAGTTATACTAGTGTATAGTTGACTGACCGATTCGTTAAAGGAACTTATAAAGACGGGTAAAATTAAAAATTAAAACATAAATAGTCTGTTCAATTTATTGACTGTCGGCAGATCGAAGAAGTTGAAAAGATTTAATTAAGTCGAAGTATTACGCCGAGCTACCTACTTACGAATTGAAATCTCGCTTGTCATTCGCGTGTTCTTTTTGAATTGAGCTCCTGTCACTTTTATCTCGTGTACAAGTTATTAAAACTTTGATTGCATTTTTAATTCATCCTGATTGAAGAAAAGTCGCAGATAGTCTGTTCAACGGAAGAAGAAAGAAAGAAAGAAAGAAAGAAAGAAAGAAAGATGTTTCATATTGTTTCGGACGTTGCAACATTAAAGAATGCAATACATTATTTTACATCTAATAATTTCGTGTTAATTTATAAATAAATATTTATCAATATTTCTTAAAATTGTTTCACCATCAAATCGAATAACTCCTCATTTTATTCTGCGTTTATTTTTTCTGTTTCTGCAAGTAATTCTTCGGATAATTTCTAATTCTGAACTTCACTTTCCGCAGGACGTGTTCGTAATTTTATTACAAACAAATGATTATTTGTCACACGAACAAAGTTACTTCTCCCGTGTTATTTTTCCAAATAATGAAAAGCATCAAAGGAGACTATTTCTAAAGAAGTGTGCATTTAATGCAGTTATTTTTAAAAAAAAAATTTCCAATCTATTTGCCGTGATTTAATTTTCAATATAATTTGATGCAACGTAAGTATAATTGATTATTTCACAGGCGAACGCGTAAAGGGGGATTTATTGTAACGAATTAACTCGAACAAGAGATTATTTGCGAACAATTTATTTGATTCGGATGCTTTAATCCTGTCCCGTATTATTTTCAAAATAAAGGCAATGAATTGGCAGAAACGATTCGTTATCTTTATCCGAGATAAAAGTTCGCCGATCCGTGACGCAACGTGCATGAGAGTTTTTTCTTCACGAGCTGCGACAATGTTACACGTTCTGGACTTGACGCGCGAGTCATCGAAATTATCGAAATTATCGAAAATATCGAGAAGAACGAAAATCGCCTCGATCAAATTGGAACGAATGCGAATGTATATCCGCAGTTGTTTGTTGCTATACAACAGTTTGTAATTGCCCCTTCGTGCAGCGTATATCCCGAGCTAATAATTTGTAAATGTTTTCTTACTAAACAGCTACACGTGGCTCGATTTAAAATTCTAATTTCGCGTGCAGAGCCGGCCGCGCGCCTGTGTTTCACCACGCGTTGTTGTTGCGCGTCCTCGTGGACACAATCATGCAGAATTAATATTTTTCGGGCGACTTTTTACGTCAAACTTTCTTTTTTCTTCTTTTCTCTTTCAGCTCTCAATTTTTAGTCGCTCCTTCTTTTTTCTTTTCTTTTCTTTTTCTTTGCAACGTGGCCGTTTCGACGAAACAGCGGAGCGATAAAAATAAATCGTAATTAAAAGTGCACCTTCCTTTTTAATCACGCGTTTCTATATTCTATAGCCGAGTAAAACTCTGCCCGTTCCGTTCGATTGCGATAGCTCGGCCGTTCGCACGATATAATTTTCGTATCGAGATGGTTATTAATTCACGGCAATTAACCGCGACCCGAGTGACTTTATAATTTTACGCTAGTCTCGTCGCCGACGAAGCGTGTCCACAGATACATGTATGTATGTATACGACGAATAATGATCTTTTTTTTTTTCTTTTTTTTTTTTTAACTTTACTTTCGGCATACGTGACTGACATCTATGATGTAATCGTCGAATTGTGTGTTGGCTTCGTAAAAAACGATAACATCTGTCCGATTCGATCGGTGTGTACTGCAATTTCACTTTATTCATTTATTTATTTATTTGTTGGTAATTGGCGTCGGTTCTGTGTTACGATCGAGGAAAGGAATATACTTGGGAGTTAGAAAGCTGAGCGTAAGGTAAGGAATTGAAAGCTATAGCTTGCAACAAATATTTATCATAACACAGTTATAATGAAATGAATATTTATGTAAGAATGAATAATTATATATTATTCTTTTGTATTCAGAATTTCGTAGCAAGAGATAATGAACCTGTCACAAATATAATAAACTGTTATTTCTTATTTTTGTATAACGAATCCTTCCGATGCATCATTTTGTAATAGAGCGATTGATTGTTAATAATTTCATTTACTTAGAACGGAAAAAGATTGTCAGCTAATTATAATTGTCTATCCTAACAATGGCAATTGATAATTGTTAGAAATAAGTCATTTAGTATTTTTTCTAACGAATCCTGGTGAATATTTTTTTAAAAATATGATTTGATCGAAATAGTTATTGTTATGTAATATTGAACGGCTGTTAATACAATGTATTATTCTAAATAGGTTTCCTGCCGATAATGCTGAAATTCGCCAACTCGAACTTCCACTAGTAGCAATTAGAGCCGTCGATCTCTGTCGTTTAGGTGGACGAAGATTTTCTAATCTCGTCCGGCGTTTAAACTCGAACAGCGACATTCTATTAAGTAGCAATCGATATCGATTCAGCCCTGCCATCGGAATTGCAAATTCTGAAAGCGCTTACGGTAATTACGATAGCGATCCTAGAGCCAGACACCGACTCGATATACGCGCATAACGTATATCGTTCTATTTATAATTCCCGGGCCACCGCGCGATTCAACATTGTGCATTCGGTGTATACGTTCGTGAACCATGCCATGTACGTACTTACGTGTAATGAGATTCCCCAGTTTCGATACTTTACTGCGCCGTTTTCGAAAGTCTCATCGTCAAGTTGATCGTTCCTGATCGAATTGCCGCGTAAATAAACTTTTTACTTTATTGAGAACTCATTTTAGTAAACACGTACATTTCTGGACGAGTGCCGGACGTTAGAAGTTATAACTATAGTCGAATTCAATGTTCACCTGTTGAGCACTAGTCAAATTAAACTAGCATTCGAAAAAAAATTGGATTGTTATTATTCGACACTCAGAACTAGCCAAATAATTATAGGCACCAATTTACAGTTTTTGTTAGATATTTCGTGAAACGTGTATTTTCGCAGATTTTTCGTACAATGTGTAAAAGCTTGCGTACTCTACAATATAAAATATTTTTTTTTTTTTTACTTTAACAGAGGTTACGATGCATAGACATCGTCCCTGAAGGGTTGCAGAAGACAAAGTGATCTGCGAGAAGAAAAGAACCATGACGCAAGAAACAGTAGCGACACGGAAGTAGAAAAAAAAAAAAAAAAGAAAGATGGCATTCCAAAATTCGTCAGCAGTGTCAAAAAGATGAGTGACACGGCGAACAACGTTTTTTGACGCGTGTAAACATTGTCGTCGATGGGGGTGTGGATATCGACGTTCCTTGATAACGAACGTGTCCGTCAAAACGGCGGCGCAGCTTTCGCGGCCGGTGGTTTTCTTTTGAATTGGCTGGGAATTTATATTCGCAAACAGCGTAACTGGCACGTCCGAAGGCGGATAGGGTGCACCGCATGATGAAACATACGGCTGATGCCCAGGGGAGTGCGTGTACATATTCATGGATGGGAATAGAGCGAGAGAGAGAGAGAGAGAGAGAGAGAGGGAGAAAGTGAATGGCCGGTTGTATTACGCACGGTGGCACCGTCTGGCCGGAAAGGTGAAAAAAAATCCTACCACCTATCGCTGTTTCCGGTTGTCGTGATTTCCGTTCGTAATTCTTATTCAGCATCGCGACGTCGATTCGCCACTCGAGAGTGGATACTTACACTCCTGCTTAAAAGTCTTAGGGCACTTTTCTTCTAACCCTTAGCCGGTGTCATTTTATTTTTAACCCTTAATTGAACGTTGAGAGCCACATAAATTTAGGTCACATTGCTCAGTTTTTAATTTGATTTAATTTGTACTTTTTTTTTTTATTTTTAACCCTTAACTGGTGTTACTGAACATTGAAAGCCATGTAAGGTCTTAGACTATTTAATTTTTAGTTTGATTTAATATTTACTTTTTATTTTTAACCCTTAAGTGTTGTTATTGAACATCGAGAGCCATTTAAGCTCTTATATTGTTCAAGTTTGGAATTTTTAATTTGACTTAGTCTTATTACTAATAAATCTTTTGCCAGACAGTGTAAAATAATATATTAAATCAAATACATTACATTTCTACTTTCTCTAGTTTTGATATTTCATTTTAGATAGGGAACAATTGCAAATGTACGTAATTGTTCGAAGTTTAAATTTTTGTAAACAATATATCATGGGAGATCGAATTGGCATTGTATTGTTCAATTTTTGAAATAAATGTCTGTAATAATATTCGTCCGAAGACTGTGGAGTGGACGTGCATTTCGTTCGCTCCTGCTATTTTGTCGTTTAAATGTAAATTAACGATTTTTTCATTTCCGCGAGATTGTTTTACGAATTGTGTAGAATAATTTCTAGGGCGTGTCGTTTAACATTCATAGGAAAAGTCATCGTGATGTCAAGTTTGGCTTTGTTTCTCTTGATCCTATACACTATGGCTTACATGATAAAATTCCATCAAACTCAGTCTTCTTCTTTCTCTTCCCCCCTCCCCCAGTTTTCTGTATTTATGTGAAAGAATTCGCTTTCTATTTAAACAAGCAAATACGACATCGATTTCCTCCTGTCAAGCCGCGCCATTTCAGCTAAAAATTTCTCGTTAATAATAAATCTCTCAGAGAAGAGAGTTTATAAAATCCTCTACAAGACCAGTTATCCAAAATTACCCCATTTTTCATCCATGTTCTCACAAACGAAGGTTCATTGTACTTATCGTCGCAATTGTCGTCTCCATAAAACGAAAATGCCTTAATTCATCGATACTTTGTCGATACTATCAATCAAAGTCGACAGTCAACGAACGCATACAGATACAAACTGTGTACAAATTTTGTGCTCTGCTGATAAAACCAAGACTGAAATGTCAAGTGTCGAACACTGTTTCTCTTTAATTATGTTTAATAATCATGCGACTAAAATGTGAAATATTCTTTCTCTTACAAGTTAGTTTAACACACGATTCGAGACGAAATATATAGAATGCTCATGCCGTGTGTTGACATAACTACCTTTATACATAATTCTACTTGTTGCTATTATACTAGTTGGCGAAGTCTATTCGCTGGCGTGGCTTCGAAAGCAAAAGTTTACAACAGAGAAATATGCACGCGAAATGCATCAATCATTTACAATCACGATGGAACTTCGTCTACAATAAATTCAATAAATAGAGTTGATGATACTTCGAAATGTGCGCATAAATGTATTTATGTTTCGTATTTTTATTACAACTCTCTACAGACTTTTTGTTACGGGATATTTTAATTCTGGATCGAATACAAACCCGTAGACACCCTACTTATCACAGTCGAATTAATAATGTAATTTTTAACATTTCGATTTCAGCTCTAAAAATTATTCCTCTGTACATTAGAAATTTATCATAAACATTTATATTAGTATTTCTGTGTTTCATTTGCATGGTCGCGAACTTACGTTGCACAGGGGATGAACCGTGTCAAAGAGGTCAGCCTCGCATACTCATTATTTCGTGCACGCTAACCGCGTCCATAAGCGAATGAACGCGTCGCATTCAAACTTTCCCTTCGATGGGGAGGGATCACTTGGCGCCAGACTGAAAGCGATGTTGTTGGCAATCTTGGCGAATGTACGACAGTAGTCTCATTTACATGGAGATGTAACAAACGTTTGCGAAGCGTCTATGCACGATCAAGGAGCAGTCCGTTCCTTGTTGCTGGTCCGACTGCAATAACGGCAGGGAACACGCCATGTTAAAGGGAAGCCCCTTAACGTAAACATCTTAAGCTCGAGATTGAATCAACCCCCATGCGTCCCCTCATCTTTCGACTTGTCCTCTGCTTTCAAATTGACAGGATTCTCACGACGGCAAGATATTGCAAATATCTAAATTTCCATTCAATTGCGTATGAGTTGATCTAAGCTATAGATATTGCATCTTTTTTACATATTTTACAAGAAAAATGTGTCAAATCATGGCACACAAGGGACGAAGGTTAATTCAATGGTAAAAAATTAATACTTATGGGATTGAGACGTTTTATTTTATATAAAAATATTATACTCATTCGTTTGTTCACTCGGGCCATTTTACGTTTAATTCTGTACTAGACTTTGAATGGAAATCATGGCTATCGAACGTTGGTGGAATTATGTTCTAGGACGAATATGTTCTCGCTCACAATATTCAGAGGATTGAATAACAACTGGTGAATATTAATTTCAACAGACATGCAATTTGAATGTTCTAGCTTATCTTCCATACTCTCCGGATATTGTCCACTCCAATCACTATATATTCCGCGGTAAATGCACCTCGAACAATGCTACTTACGACAATAGCTTCGATGTTAATTTCCAAGCTGTGAAATAATTAAAAGCGTGTCTATTTATTTCTCATTGAAAACATATTATTCTTTATTTCACGATCTAAGCTGAACTTGTAGGGACAATTAGTTGATGAGTGAAATATTAGACATCGTGCGTCTTAGTTTTAGTTCGTCACAAGATAATTAGTATGTATCTGTAAATTCGTTGTGAGAGCATTTTATAGAATGTTACGTTTATTGCTATAATATATATGTGAAACAATTTTTATTTCTTCTTTAATGAGGGTTAAATGGCCCGATGAAACGGTAGGACGCGTTTCGTCGCGAACCAACGGCGATATCGTCGATATCGCGGCGAGATTAAATATGAAAGATACTCGAAATTATCGGGAAACAAATTTCCCGAGCGTCGACGAAGTTCCGCCGCTGCGAGAAGGCTCGCGAGGAAAGACGTCGTACTCGATTAATTTCGCCGATAAATAAATTCGCCGCGTCTTCTCGTCAATAGCTCGTAAATACTGGTAATATAGGGCGGCAGGTTGGACGGGCAAATTGGTCGGAGATGGAATTTTACTTGCCGCCGCGAGTTCTCCGGCGTTGTAGTTCGTTCAGTTCCGTTCCCGACGGAAACCACCTCGAATATTTATTGTTCTCGTTGCTCGCGAATTTCACCACTTTCACCTCTCGTTGCCGAACTTTCGAAATGGCAACGCGCATCGAGCCAGCGAACGAGCGAGCGAGAGATCCTCTGCGCGTGATAACGTCTCGAGCAGAATTGAGAAGCAGGTGAACCGGTTTCTCGCCGGATCGGTGATTCCCGTCGGATCGAATACGAGAATGGCGATCCGAATATCCGCGAGTTTGGTGAAGGTAGACGTATGCGTTACTCTTCAACAAATATTCAGACACGCTGATTATTAAATAATAGAATATATTCAAGTCAACTAGAATGTCTGGATATCTGTTAGTGTAATTGTGGTGTGGAGATGGGGATAGCTCAAGTCGGTAGAGCATCAGACTTTTAATCTCAGAAAAAAAAAAAGACATTGTCCTTTAGGACAATAGTACGAGAGAGCTCTGTGTGTATAAAAAGGTCCCTGGAGCTCTCGGAGGACGGCCATCGTGGAGGTTTTAGTCCGACATTACCTGGGTCTTCCCTTAAAAGACTCAGCTGTCTTATGAAGATTTCCTCCACGTAATTGTAGCAATGAAGTATATGATATACAATTAATGAAGTATAATATTGATCACAGTGGCTCGAGTACGCCAGTAGAAACGACAAGGCAACAGGAAGTCTGTCGGTGGCTGCCGGTGGGACAAGCACCGGTTAACTGTTACTTTCTTTTCCTACCAGTCAGTCAATGAGTATGGCTCTACGCGACTGGTACGCGAATCGCGAGCTGCTCTTAACGGGAGTGGCCAGCGACGTAGGACGAGCATTGCTCGAGAAGATCCTTCGTTCGTTCCCCGACGTGAAGGTGTACGTGGTCCTCCGATCCAAACACGGCTTCAGCAAGGATGACAGAATTAAGAATATCTTTCTGTCACCGCGGTACGAATGCCTGATTTTTTTGTCTGCTTCTCTACTGAGATGAAATTCGTAGTGTTTCGAAGTGTGACGATTTTAACATGATGGTGACTAGAATGGAAGAGGAAAGGGTGGTTAGTGTAACGAAATGATGCGCTGAAAATAATCCGTGATTAACGTGATATTATTATTATTGGTATTAACGTGTTAAGGAGTAGTTATTAATCTTGCATTGAAAATTTACATTAGTCCCTTGACAATTGGACGACGGTGTGTCGTTCAGTACGAATTGAAAAGAGAGAAAATATTCGTACGTTCGATCGAAAAATTGTTGATACTTTAAACTGGTATAACTTCGTAAAGAAAGAAAAGATTGTACAACGGTTCAGTTGGTCTTGTTTTAAAACGTTAAGCTTGTATTTTAACACCTCTTAGTTCTTTTTCGAGAAGAGATATTTTTTACATCGTGCAACAGGTGGGATAATTAATTGTAAAAATTCAAACATCTCTAAAGTCGCTGAGAAATTGTTTAATAATCTAATCATGATCTAATCTCTCTTCTTTCATCAATTCTTTTCATCGTTTTATTGAACTCAAAATAATAGTATTTCTTGAATACTATTACCCGGAACGTTAAATTGTATATTTCAAAATTTACAGTAAAAGTTATAAACCGTGTTTCTCTACAGTTTGTATCACGCGAAATTTATAATTTCTTCAATTGGTAAGAGTGAACAAACGTGTTCAGACCTTCGAACGAAAGACGATTTTAGCAACGCGCGGAACATGTTGCATTGAATACAAGTAAATAAAATCGGTACCCAAACGTGGAACATCAAGTGTAATATTTCCATAGAAAATACGAACAACAAATTCCAACAAATTTGTCTCTCTTGATTTTTATTCCTTCTATTAATTGAGGCACATTAGTTGTACAAAAAGAGTCGAGTGAATCTCGTTTCGATGTTGAAAACGAGAAATGCTCCTTGGTTCGGTTGAAAATTTGCTCGAGTTAACAACGCGGCTGTAATAATACGAATTTCTATGTATATATTCCGCCAATGCCTCTGTATTATATTACGGAATATCGATGGCGTTGAAATTTGCGGGATGAACAATTACGAACAGAGAATGAAAACTCGCGTGTTTAGTTAATTCAGGCGAACGACGGACTTGTGCTCGGCGTTGGTCAAAGCAAAACTACCTCGCCGGGATGCTGTCGCTGTACCGATTTCCTCGTTATTTCCCTCTCGAAGAACAATGGTTCGAACGTTCGTTCGGAAAACAGATACTAACAAGATCGTTATTCCGGTAATAATGCCGTAAATAATATAAAGGTCGATGCGGCGTATTTATAAAGAGAAATGGGCGTTAATGCGGATTAAGCTCGCCTAATTCATAATTGAGAGTTAACAACAATATACACGCGAACGTAATGGAACTCGGGGCGTAATGAGATCTCGAATTATTTAGTTTTACGATTTACGGTAGTTTATTAACTCGCCTTTGCCGACCGTTCTCCACCAGGTCGTTTCGGCCTTTTTGATCGAGCAATTAATTTCCATTCGACTCATATTTCTTCAATTAAACGTGTCCCTCGGTATCGAATTAATACAAAGAAATTGATATTAATTGACGTCAAAATTGAAAGCAAAAAATTAGTATAAAAGATAAGTAATGCGTAAGAAGATAATAATACATGAAAACGTATATTTAGTGTACTTACTATTATTATCACTGTTGTATTTCGTTACTGTTATATTAAATAATTTGTAATGATTATTAATTGGCAGATCTCGACTTTTAATTTACTGCGGGTGAAATGGCGAAATTCGTAATACAATCCTTCAGAAATAATCAAACAAGTTTTCACTCCGTCGATTCGATGTATTCTAGACAGTTTTATATTCGTTACGATTAAAATCTTTAATTGATCATTTTACGGTTGTCGTTTAACGATAAATTTCAAGCTTTAAATTGAAGTCTAATAAATATTATTTAACGACGCTTTCAGCCACCGAATTCTGAATGATCTCACGCGTAGTTTCGAAACTCGCAGTTCCAATAACTTTTTAAAGACAAAAATTTGCCAAATTGACACAAGGCTTGTTAGGAATAATATTTGTTCATCGTTATTTCTCGTTCGATTGATCACGTTGCCTATTATATCATATACTCGTTAGACGTTGCGTCTGACTCTAATGAGGCATTCGTTAGATATTGCAGCCTTCCATTCTAATCAAGGCTTCATTAGACAGAGGAGCGGATGTGAATTAGCTTTTCTGCATGCTCGCAACAACCGTGGTTGGCTGTTCAGTTATTTCAAGTAGCTGTAAGAAGACAGACTTACAGTGACATTATATTTACAGTTCATAGTTTAGTTTAGAGTTTATATATCTGAACCACAAGTAACCACAGGCTTTGTAGAAATCCCTTTCTATTAATATCAACAAAATGAATGCAATTGAAAAAAATAATTGTTACACCTTTCGTGTGTAATTTTCTGTAATTTTCGGGCAATTGAATCTAAAAACAATTTTTTTCAATACTGCCAACTTTTCTTCAGGTTGTTTGTTCAGCAAGAGATTGATTCATTGATTCAGTTTTTTTTTTTTCCACAACTGAATTTAAAGGTACGTAATATTAAATATTTCGTATCGAAGAAGGAAGAAGGCTATCAAAGAATATCATCGCCTTATGCGAAAGGAGAGCTTACGAACGCGCTGACGCAGATATTCTTTTCATGGGTGTTTCGTCGTTGTCGATGAATCACATTGCAAGCTGCAAACGACAAAAAAAAATTGGACGAAAGTTGGAAACGGCGTGATCCCAGGACACTTTGTCTATTTACTGTGAAAGGATCAGCTTTGTGGTTAACTGTCTCCTAGTTACAAGGAAACGTTGACGATAAACCGCTGACATAATAGCAGACCGATTATGGTGTACAGTGTACACACAGGCGACCAATAATAGGAGTCTTCGCAGTTGAGGGCGTGAAGGGGGATTGTCTGCGACGCCCTTAACTACTGTCGTTGCAAACACTGTCAGCGTATTATCGGTCACCATGTATACAATTGTTCACGAAAATATTCAAACACATTTATAGGAATTTTTCACGAACATACGGATCATTTTGATAGTTCATTAACGATAGCGGGGCATCATTGTCACAATTGTATCGTTTTGGAGCAATCTAACAAATACGAAATATACATTGAAATTACAAGTGTAGATTTTGTAAAGGTATTTTCACAAAAGTATTTGACAACCTTATTTTCACTGGCATCGTATTTAACACTTGTATTATATGGATATATGGGGATTCACATAAATTGTTATATATATATTTTATATATATAATTGAATGTATGTAATTAGAAAAAAGTTACGCACAAATTGATACGTTGATAAGTACATTGAAACTTATAACTTTTGCGCATATTTCCAGATTGATATCAAATAATCATGAAATATAATCCTGTCTCGTTGCAGTTGTAATGAAATTTCAAATGTTTTGTATAACACGGATGACAAAATATTTAGTAAAGTATTAGAAGATTATATTTATATAATTAAATATTGATAAACATTAGATTTATACAAAATATAATTTTCAAATACGTCAGCCATTGTATCGAAAGATCGATATAAAAACAACAAATATATAATGATAAAGGAATTACATGTTTAATTCGTCGAATGTTTAATCCATTTTTTCTTTTCACTCGACACTCCGTAACTGACCGAACGATCGATTTTCCCAATCGAGATCTGCAGTTTCGAAATTAAACCTGGCCACGATTCAATGGAACAAACCGTTCGTTTGTTACAGGTTCGAGAGGCTCCGGCAAGAGGATCCGAACGCGTTGTCTCGAGTGAGGGCGATGGAGGGTAATTTATTATACAGCGGGCTGGGAACAACGCGACCTGACAGGGAGCTACTGCAAAACGTGAGCGTGGTGTTACACGCGGCCGGCTCTTACCACGAAGTGTTCCGATTGTACCAACAACTGCCGCGGCTTCAAGTCATCGTGGCGGTCGCCAGCGTTTTCAACCACGAAGGACGAATCGGCGAATCGATCTTGGAGAAAGAACAGGCGATCAACGGGCCCGTGGCTTTGCTGCAGGTTCCACTGGTCGGACCAGCACTTCGCGAGCCTATGCCCGGCTTTGTCGACGTCCTCAAAGGGCCGACAGCTTTGCTAGTTGGGGCAGGTTTCGTCCTTGGCAACTCGGAGCTCCAAGCGGAAATCATTCCGATCGATCTGACGGTCAACACCCTGATCGCCGTTGCTTGGGAACGAGCCACCGCGTGAGTATCATTTCTCTTCTCCTATGCTTGCTTCTCTTCCTCTTCCTCTTCCCCGAGTCTGAGGCTGATTTCCGACCACTTTGTTGAAGCGATGTAATATAGATTGGACGACAAAGTCGATTTTGCTTTGAACAAAGAAGAATTGAAATAATTGATCTATCGAGTATCAGTTCGAGCTACTTAGCTCGGATTTTCGTTTGGTTCCGCATATTTACGAGCGAGGAACGATGATTATAAATTTCGTATAAATTGTTCGTCGATATTAAGGTGTGCAAAGAATACACGGATACACTGGAAATATTTTGCGCGATTGATACACGAGTGTTGAAGGGCTTTTCAAAATTTTTATTTTAATAAGAAATATTTGTTCGTCATATAGAATTAATCAGTTCATGATTTAAGCTTAAGTCTTTCAGTGAGTACGCGAAAGTGTGCGTATAAAGACGAAAACTATCGTAGAAACTAAAGAATCGCAGAGTAAATATTAATAAGCTGTTGAAGCTGAAAACATTCTGCAAAATTGCATTGACGCATATTTCTTGTTACAAAGGACTAGAAAAAGCTGTACATATATTAATTACACAAAATCTATCAATCATGTTCACTATTCGTGTATATCTTAGTATTAACGGCGGATGGAAAAGAATTTGCTCAATGGTGCTTCTCACTGTACATTTGTATTTCATTTTTCTCAAATTTCTGTTAGTCCATTGAAGTGTCCAAAGCAGAAGAACCTTGAGACAGTGTATAATGTATCATTTCCCATTACGTTTTAAAAATGGAGACCCATCGAGAAGAAGCATCAAATATGAAATTGACGAAAATTCCGTCCACATCAATCAGAAAATCATTCCACCTCGAAAAATCGCGAAATATACTTAGCAGAAGTTGAACGCCCAGGAGGACGGTAAGTACCTCTGATGTTCTATTTAGCAAAAGAGGCCGCAACATCGACTGATCGTTAAAGAAGCTTTACGGGCAGTAAACTTGCGGTTAATTACACGCGAGTGGACATCGGCTGACGAAGACGACGCGCTTCGCGAGCTAATAAGGATCGCTAATTGCTCGGTTTCTTTCCTTTTCAGTCTGCCCGTTTCCGTAATTTACTTTGACGCAATAATTGCCGATTAAAAGGCAATTTCTCGCTTCGTTGTAACCGCCTGTTAGAAAAGTAGAGAAAGTTCATTGACGCGGGCGGAAAAGGAAAAAAACCGTCGCGATGTATTTACCATACTTGCTTCGTTTCGCGTGAATCGTCCAATAAGATATAAATATAAAATGACGAGTAGAGTAGATCGTCACGTGAAGTTGTTCTCCTCTTTCGAGAACAAGAAATTGATTCTTTTTGCAAGGCTTGGTTTCGTTTCGAAATATCTTCTTAAAATTTTACTTGCTTTAAACTTGTTATCTTGTATGTTCTGTTGAAAAAAGTAAGTATTTTATTTGATAGTCACTTATAGATGAAAGGTTAATAAATTAAAATTAAACTTAAATTTATCCCAGATTAATAATCTTGAAGATCTTGATTTTACAACGATACCATATCTCTTTAAAACATGCTGTTCTTGTCTTTTTTTTTTTTGCTATTTTATTGAACTTAATAAATATTAATAATATTTATTATTCTATAATATTATATAAATATTATTAAATTATAAATATTATATAAATATTCTATAATATTTAAATTCAAACAATTTAGTCATTATATATGATCACTGTATTATAATTATTAGAATATAGTAATTAAAATGTTCTGTCCACTAGAAGTTTTTTTTTCAATAAATGCGCACAAGTTTCTTTTAATAAGAAATTTATATCAGTTCTTGGACTCTTGGACTCTCATACAGTTTTATTATATTTTTACCTATATTTTTAACATTGTTAGGTCTCTCATGTTTCTCGCAAAAAGATTCATGTTGTTTTGGAAATCGTTGAGTAATTTAATGCGATATTTTTAGTTAGTTTATTACGTAAATGAAATTCGCCAAAAAGAGATATTCATCAACTTCTGTATAATCCTCGAATCGAATCTTCAATCGAGATTTCGTAAATAGAATACTGTTTGAGTTTATATAAAGGTATTGTCTTGAGTTTATATAAAAGTTATAAAACACGCAGTTGTTCTCGTACGGTTCTCGTCATTTTTATAAATCGCAGAATCTTCAACCTGAAACGGAAAGCTTGCTGTCTTACCCAAGCGTTGCAAAACGAAATTCGCAGGGAATCATAGATCTGTCTGCGTTTGAAAAATATACACCGGCGACCGTGTGTAGTGCCAGTGTTGAAAATCGATGTCGAAGAAAGTTATAAAAAGTTGAAGTGCTCTGTGTGGAGCAACCGCGTTGATATAATATAAAATAGGTTTAGCCACGAGTGAGGAATATAAAATATACGATGGGTTGCGCCGCTGATTCAAGATAAGACGGTGGAAGATGGAAAGGAGCAAATAGCAAGAGACAAGATAAATAAGGTTTCCCCAAAATGGCAGGATCAAGGAAGATTTCTATAAAAATACAAGTAAAAGGGCTTGGCGGTCAAGGTTATAAAGCCTTGGAGTACCCACTTACATACTAGGAACTACGGTACGGCGGATTTACGAGGGTACAGACGGAGTTATTTCCTTTAATCTTGCCACGGAGGATGCTTTAAACTTCGCAAGTTAGAATGACGTCAGACGATTTCGGAGTTCAGACGGGGCGTCAGTGTACAGTGAAGAGCATAATTGAATCAGTAACAACAGGATTTGCATATATTCCTTTTTATTATCGTTAACGTTAACAAATATAGCAGAAAGGAATATTCTGCGTAACAACATGAATGTTTCTGCAGTTGTATCATAAATTTTAGTTTATCATGTGTTAAATTGATCAATTTAAATGAAAATTTGCAAAAATTAAGAAGGGACAGAATTTACGATATTATCATATTTCTCAGATTATGACGGTTTTTCAATCTCAAGAAATTACTCGTGTTGTCTGTTGTTCTGCTTGATTCACCAAATTTGGATTTAGGAACCGTCGTAATACGGAAAAACTGTTTATAATTACTAATCTTTGAAAGTATATATATATATACATATATATATATATATATATATATATATATATATATATATATATATAATGTTTCATTGTTAATATATCGAAAACATTTTCATTAATAAATATATTAATTTATTAATTTATAAATGATAAAAAATATACGTATGCTTAATTAGGAATTTTTTTTCTTCTTCGAAATTTTGATCCAACAGATATTAATCTTTTCCTGTGTAGAATAAAAATCAATATAATCTCGAGAAATGAATCTTTCCTATAGGAAGAAGAACTACGAAAGATGTAACGTAATATTATTGAAACCCTTCAAGTAAGATCGATAGTAATGCATGTACAACGATAGTAAATTTTTCAATTAATAGTTTCAAATTTTTTTAAATTAGAAATTAATTATAAGAAATGTAAATGTTAAAAGTCGATTTTAAACTACAAATTATTATTTTTCGTAAAATGAAATACATATATAACCTTGAAACACGAGAGGAGAAGCAACCTCATGTTTTTTTTTAGCGAGCCTCAATTTTCACGGTCAGTTATGAATTATGTGCTGCTTCTCACAAAAGCAGAAGATTAGCAATTTCATTGAAATGTACGGTCACACGACATGATGAAAGCAGCTATGTATCTATCTATCATTCTAACATGCATTCATTCACAGGAACGGTATATATATATATATATATATATATATATATATATATATA